TGTGTTCCTGCCAGGGGGAACCCTCTTCCCCCAGACAGGTGCACAGCTGCTTCTTCACCTCGGGTGGATCTTTCCTTCAGTGTCACTTTCTCAGTGGGGCCTTTCCTGGCACCCCATCTAAAATTGCAAACTGCTCCTCCCTGTCCCACTTATCTGCTTTATCTTTCTCCTTAGCACTTATGACTTTCTAACATACTCCTCCATAATTTACTCATTTTTCAAATCATGCCACTAACAGGGAAGGCAGTGCAAAAGTGGGAGCTCAATGAAGCAGAAGGTGGCTCCAGCCTGCCTAGATGCCTCTCAAGAGGTGGGGTGCCCTCAAAATTTTCCCCTGCCAGATTCCAAACCCACCTAAATGTCCCTAACAGGAATGTAAGTTCCACAAAGGCAGAAGCTGTTGTCTGTTTGGATCACCACTGCATTCCCAATTCCTGTAACAGTATCTGAGACATAATTGACGCTCAATAAACATTTAATAAAACAAGGAACATACAAACTGAAATACTTGCCACTAGGGCAGAAAAACAAAATACTGTAGTCACTTCAGCAAGGCTCCACACGGGATGCCATGAGGCTAACTGCCTGCCCTTCTTCTTAGAAGAAAACAACTCCAGGTAAAAATGCCCTCCAGAAAAAGGATCACAGAGCTCTGTCCATGCAGAGACCATTGTAGGCACCTACCTGGTGATGGTGGCTTCTGCCTGGTGGCTGGAGAACACCTGAAATGCTCAGCCTTGTCCTTCTGGTACAGAGTTTAGTTAAGAGAGAGTTTCACCACCATTTCAAAACAGCTTCTTTGCTGTAGTTATTTAGAAACATTTCATCCTTTTCACAAGACTCATTAAAAAAAAGATGATGAAAACACATCTGACATCTTTTTCTAAATATCCTGCTATTTAAGCATTTGCTTACTAGGACTTTCAAAAACGAATCTCAGTCTTTCGAAAATAATTAAATCTCTCTCTTTTTTTTTTTTGCTGAGATCTTTCTCTTATTCTTCCACTGTTAAAACTACACATAGATGCTAAATAAATCTCATCATGTATGAAGAGTTTTCTGTTGTTTTTAGGGTCAAGATACCATATATTTTCAATGTTTAAAAACAAAAGCCTTAAAAGATTTGAAGTAACATATCATAAAAGAAGATACATAATTTCCCTTATATACAGAATCTATGGAATCTAAGGAATAAAAAGAACAAACTAAAAGAATCACAAATATAGTGGACAATTTGGTGACAGACAGAGGGGAAGGAAATTTGGGGGCCTGGGAGAATGGGGTGAAGGGTTAAAGAAGACAAATTAGTAGCTGATGGATGGTCACGGGGATGGGGAGCATGGCATAGGGAATGCAGTTAGCATTAATACATTGGCTAGGTGGAGGGTCAGGGGAGGAAGGGTGCAATTGGGATCGTTTTACGAACTATATAGATGTCTAACCAATGTACTGTATACTTGAAACTACTTAAAATAAATAAAATAAAAAGAAGATACATAGGTGAAGGACACAACATCATTAGTTATAAGGGAACTGTAGATTAAACTACAATGAGATTCCACCATATACCACTGCCAATTCCAAATGTTGCTGAGGATGTGGACATCCATACACACTGTCGGTGGGAGTATAAAATGGTACAAACATTGTGAAAAGTTGTTTTTTTAAACAGTGACACGGCGATTGCATTCTTGGTACTTACCCAAGAGAAATGAAGACATATTCATAGAGCGATGCGTGAATGAATGTTCATAGCATTATTAGAATTAGTCCTAAACTGGAAACACCCAAAGGAACCATCAGCGAGAAAACAAATTCTAATACATCCATACAATAGAATATGTACAGCAATAAGTGATGAATTTCTGATATTTGCAACAATGTGGATGAAACTTACAGATGTTATGCAAACAGAAGAACCACCTATTGTATGAAATCCTGGCAAAACTAATATACATGGTAGGCGGCAGATCGATGGTTGCCTGAGGTGGGAAGGTGGATGGACTTCGAAGGGCATGAAGGAACTTTTTTGGGGTGACGGAAAAGTCTTATATCTTGACTAAAATGATGGTTTGTTAAAACTAATCCAACTATGCTTACGATAGTGCATTTTATCATATATAATTATTACTCAATACTATATTAAAAATTGTTTAAAACAGAAAAAATTAAGGGACCTTTAACTGGATTAGGGGGCAAGATGAGAAGTGTGTTAATCATTTGTACCCCCCTAGATAAGAAAATTATTACACTGGATGCTTTAAATCAGCAATAATTTTTTTTTTAGTGACATGCTGCTAGTACATGCTGCTTGCTTTCTGTGTGCAAGGCACTATTTTAAGTGCTTTACTTAGATTATTCTATTTACTCTTCACAACACTTTGTAAGACAACACTATCACTACTTAAGTATGGACAATTAAACTGAAGCACAGACAGGTGAAGTAACATAGCTAATAAGAGCCAAATTCTGAACCCGGCCCCTTGATGTCAATGTCACTGTTATACTCTCAGCCACTGCTTCCTGTCATTTGGAGAATTTCAATGAGATTAACATCAGAGTAAACCCAGTTTCTATTATTTATGACACCAAATAGAATGGAAAGTAAAAGTTTAAAATAGCTAGTTTTAACAACACTCAACACAGTTTATTGGACCCATTTTTTACCCCAAATTTTTATGAAATCATTTTGGTTCTTTCACAAGTTTATTTCCTAAATAAGTAAGTTTATCTATTTTTGTCAGGTTAGATAGTAAATTATTTATTATATAAGAGGCTATGTTTTACCCCTCGTGCAGCTGAATCCTGTTTATAATGCAACTTCACATCTCTGTTAAGGAAGATGTGGTCATGGTTAGGCAGCCAGAGGTGAAGGAAATGGAATTTGGTCAACGCAAAGGAAAAAAGCAATAAGAGGAAAGAATAAGCAATTGCAGGATTAGCTAACAATATTTTTTAATGCAACACATATATTCAGGTGTCACGAGTGTGTCTTCCTGCTATTCAGAGTTGCATATCATAATAAGCTTTCACATGGTCCAATGCTTTACTGCTTTTTAAAATGTAACTTTGAGAACTGTTAGCTGTGTACCTTCCCACTTTTTTTTTTAACTAATAGTAATATTAATATGTAATGCAGTCAAATTAAACTTGACTTTTGGAACACATTACTTCTAAGGAAGGGACGATATTTGAAGTTAACTAATATTCATTTGACTAGTTGTAAATGAATTCAGTGTTGACACCCAGGAAGGCAGCAGGATGTGTGATGGAGAAGGCCTCCCCTCAGGAGGTTTGGGTTCAAATTTCACTCTACCATTTGCTACTCTGTGATCCTGGGCAAGTCATTTAACTTCTTGGAGCCTATTTTCGAATCTCCAAAATGGCTTTAAGCATAACTACTTTATATTTAGGTACCATTAATATATTTGAATATATTTGATATATTTGAAATTAATGTTTATTAAATTAGAATTTGAGTATTAGTTTCTTCATTTATCAAATGAAGGGACTGGATAAGATTTCTTGGTTCTTTAGAGCTCTAAAATCTCGATTCTATATCAGCATTTTCCAAAGTGTGCCCCACAGAACTCTAGTTCTATGAACTGTGAGGTGTTGCTAGTAATAAAAAAGGGCCCTTCTGGTTTTCTTAAGGGGTGTATTTTCCTATGCCAGTCCAGACATACATGATTTGCCCAAAATTATAGTGGCAGAGCCAGAACTAGAAACCGTATCCCTGGCTCCTCGTTCAGTGATCTGGCCACTTGGGAAAGAACACAGGATGACCACATTATAGACTGTGGGCAGACAATCTTCCTACTTTTACACTAAAACAACTCTTTGAAAAGTGACCAGTGACTTCCTAAAAACTAAATCCAAGACCTAGGCTTGTTTCTCAGCCAACTCCACCTCTGCAGAAGCTGTGACTACTGATTCACCATGGATTCAACCCGGGTCCCTGGTCCTCCTTGGTTCCTCAGCCCCTCAGAGAATCTCCGATTCTCTCATATCTGCCTGCTCAGGCTCCATTTCCTCTTCTTGTTTCTTCTGTACATGTTTGGCTTCTACTCTTAAATACACATCTCCAGCTGGATATCCTGCCCGCAATTCAAACAAGCTTGTTCAAAAACAAATTCATTACCCTCCTCACCCTCCCACCCAGCAGGTCTCCTCCTGTGTCCTTTATTTCTGCAAATACATCATCCATGCTCTAAAACACCCAGGCCCAAAACTCTGGAATTGGTTTTTTGTTTGTTTGTGTTTTACTTCTTTCTTCTCTTTGGTGCCTTCAGTTGTCAAATCCTCTAGATCTACAAAATGTCCTTCACACAGTAACTTCACAGCCCTGGCTGAATTTCTTATTACTTCTCCTGGACTAAACCAATAGTTCCATAACTGATCTACTCCAAGCTATCCTACACATTGTTGCCAAACACAGATCCAATGATGTCCATCTCTTGCCCTAAAACATTCCATGGCTCCCATGGCATATGTAATAAAGTAAGTATCGTCCTTTTTTCTACAACAAGAATCCTATTTTCACTCCGTGTTTCAACTATCAGTGCTCCCTCGTCATGCTCTCTGCTTCCACGTAAGAGGGACTGCACTCACTCCCAGGCCTCCTCAGTCTGGTCACCTTCAAGCCTCAGCTGATGCCATTCTCCACCCCAGGAATGCTTTCTCCTCTTAGGTGCCCCCTCACTTCATGACAGCCACTCCCTCAGTAGCCTTCTGGACTACCCTTTGACAGATGTGATTTATCCTGCCTCTGAGCCCTCCTAGCTCTGTATTGTACCTTTCAATAGTCCTTACATCCTATCTAATGTTTTTATTGTACACTCCCTTAGTGCAGGGAGTGTACGTGTCTCATTTACTTGTGCAAAACAAGTGTTCCAAAGATATCTGATGGGCGGATTTGACAAAGAAAACAGTTTCCTGCCCAGAAAACTTGTACTAGAAGCATCCACACCCTCAAGCCTGATAACTCTTGCCTTAGCAAACAAGTTGGTCAAACAGACATCAAGTTCCTGTCAGACCTGACAAAGAGGAACTAACTGGACTCCTGCCTGGTGAAAAACGACTGGCCTGCCGCACAGTGCAATAGGATTTTGTTTTTTAACTCTTTCTGTTAAAATAATTTTAGATTTACAATAAGTTATAAAGATCATACAGAGAGCTCCTGTATACCCTTTACCCAGATTACTCTGTTAATATTTATTAGGATATATTTATCAAAATTAAGAAGTTAACATGAACTAAACCACAGGCTTTATTATAATTTCCTCAGTTTTTCTACTAATGTCCTTTTTCTGTTTTAGGATCCAATTCAGGATACTATATTGTACTTAGTGCGCTGTAATGTTAAGGCTCAAAATTAATTTAAAAAGTTAAGTAAAGGAGGAGGGGAGAGAGGTAGAGCAGGGTCTTTCAACCCTATTCCTTGTATTTTTAATGTCAGAGGAGGCCATTAAACTAACGTCAGGGGAAATGAGGACAATTTACCAGCTAGTCCGCAACCTACCGAGTTCCCACGGATGCGCGCTGCCCGCCCCGCGGTCCTCCCCACTCACGGTTCCCATCTGCCAGGCCCGGACCTCGCACCCTCTGCCACGGAAAGCTTAGGAACCCGGACTCGGGCTCGGCGACCAGAACCCCGCCAACCCCGCCGCCCTTGCGCCCCCAAAAGCGCGCTCACCGGGCGCCGAACCTCCACGTCGCGCGCACCGCCTTGTCCTCAGCCACGTGGACGCGCGGCGCGGCCCCGAGCGGGACAGCGGGCGAGGCCGGGCTCCCGGCGCCAGCGTGACGCGGGCCTCTGCACCTGCCCAAGCTCGCCCCGCGCGTGTTCCGGGAGGCTAGCTGTCCATCGCCTAAGACTGAGTTCCCCACGACGGGCAACCAAATTCTGAATAATACACGAGACTTGGAAAAACAAAGCAAGACTACGTATGCGTTAGCAAAAGTAAAATACATGGTAAGGGAAGGATGGAGCCGAGCCAAAGTTCCGCAGTGGAGTCGGAGCTTGAAATGCAGGCTTTCAGTACTAAGAAATGAGGAGGGCACTGCACGCCAGGGGAACTGCTGGGGACAAGGCGTGACAGTCGGAAGGAAAGAGAGCATGGCCTTGTGGGCCTAAAAGGCTGCTACTGGGGACGACCTATTCCTATTTGCTCAGACAGGCCCTGCCTCCCTCTAACCTCGCCAAGACATATTGAGTCATTAGATTGATTACCTTGGTGAAATGATCTTGGCATTATTTACTAATACCCTAAATCCGTGAAAGAACTGAAGACTTCATAGTGGTCAAAAAACTTAACTGGATTTAAAGATTACTCTGGTTTGGAAATAAATAAACTCTCACAATAACAAACTTCTTTCGGTGTTCTTTTTCTCCAGATCCAGCCCACATTTCCCTTAACCAGCTTCTTTCCAAAATCAAACATACTGAGATATTGGAAAACCATACAGATTTGAGGCTCTAAAATTTCTCCTGATTATAGAACAGGATCAATGCCATGTGCATATTGGGCACTCAGGGATTTAAAATTATCATAAAATAATATATTTCTAACCATAAAGGCAGTGTGTATACTACCTCATTTACTATGGTAAACATAGTCAGTAGCTTTGGAAAGCAAAAAATAATAATTTTTTTCACTCAAAACTTTATTATAGCAAATCTCGAAATACTACTTTAAGTCTTTAAACTTTCTCAAAAGTTGTTTTCATTGTTTTGCTATTCTAGTTCCTATGTGTTTCCATAAAAATTTTAGAATCAACTATCGTTTTATTTTATGCTGGGATTTTTATTAAGATTGAATTTATAGATCAATTTGGGGGAAAAATGACATGTTAATAATATTGAGTTTTTGAATTCATGAACATGGTATATCCATGGATCTTTCTCTTATTTGAATTTTTAGCGTGCAGATCTTGCACATATTTTGTTAGACATATATCTCAGTATGTCATCTTTTTTGTTACTATTGTAAATGATATTGTTTTAATTTTAATTTCCACTTGTTTGTCACTACTCTATGGAAATGCAATTGACTTTTGGGTATTGGTCTTGTATCCTGTGACCTTGTTAAAAGTCACTTATTAGTTCAAGTAGCTTTTGTTTGGATTCTCTTTGGAATTTCAGCAAAAGTAATCATGTTGACTGAGAATAGCTTAGTTATTCCTTTCAGCTCTGTATATCTTCATTTTCTTGCTTAATGTACTGGCTAGGACCTCCTGGATGACCAATATGCTTTTTATTCACTAGTCTTGTTTCACAAATTAATTTTTGAAACCCCTTAAATAGTAAACCTCTGGATGGATTTCAGGGGTCTGTGAATCTTTGAAAAATATAAGCAACATTGTGTATTAATATGCATATCTATATTTCCTTACAGGAAGTGGGTTCATGGCTAATTCAGACTGTCAAAGGGATTTACATCATCAAAAGAGTTAAGGAACTAAATTTTAAATAAAACCCTAGGTATATATAAAGACTCTTCATGATATTAGTTTTCACATATACAGCAATGAAAGTTATTAAGAACAGAAATTTTGTTTTTTACCTTGCCCTCCCCCACTCCATAGAAAGAATAAACAGTTCTCTGCAGTTTTGAACCCTATCACTTCTGTGTTAAGGACAAATTTAAATGTTGGTAGGGATTGGTGGTAGGACATGCTTAGAATGCATACAAAATATAGATGAAGTAAGGCCAAATCCCTATTTCAAAGCCCTCAAAAATAAAAATATACCAAAAAGGGCATAAGGGGGGAAAAAAATCACTGGTTATGCATACGCTAAAGCTTATTATCTTAAGGCACTCTTGAGAAACAGAATAAATCATATTAAGCTTCATTTACAGAATTATAAAATGATTGAAAATTGGGCACATTTATCTCCCTGTTTGTTTTAAATTGGCCTAAATCCAGAGACAAATAATAAATGAGGTTATTTTTAAGTTCTTTTTCAAACTATAAAATGTTAAAGCTTTGTCTCTAGTTTTATGTGAAAACCTAGGACTAAAATTAGTGAATATATTAATATTTATAAAATTCCCAAAAGGTGTCTAGCTCTGTATTAGATTCCATTATCTCCCCTCCGTTGAAGGAAAATCTCATTTATTATTATGAGTCAATATTAGTGTTAACATAATTAGCAATCACTTGATTACCATAATTTAGTGAATCCCAGTAATGAAAAGACAAGTCTTCTCAAAACATTTATACTATTAAAAATAATAATGATAAACACATATATGGTGCTTCATATATGCCAAGCACAATTTATTTAATCCTTACAATAGCCCAATGAAGTAATTATCCTCATTTCATATGATTTGTAGTACTGGGTAGCACCTTTCTTTGTGATATTATTCTAGTCCAAGTAATTTTTCTTTTTTTCTTTTATTTTTAATTAAATCTATTGAGGCGACATTGGTTAATAAAATTATATAGGTTTCAAGTGTACAGTTCAATGTCATATGTATATTGCATGTGTATTCACCACTCAAAGTTAAATTTCTCTCCGTCACCATATATTTGACTCCCTTTACCTTTATTATCTCCCCGCCTCCCCGCTTCTCTCTGGTAACCATTAAACTGTTGTCTGTGTCTATGAGTCTGTTTGTCTTGTTCGTTTGTTGCTTTCAGTTTTATATCTCACAGATGAGTGCAATTATATGGTTCTCAACTTTTTCTCACTTATTTTGCTTAGCACAATAATCTCAAGATCTACTCATGTTGTCACAAATGACAGTATTTCATCTTTTCTTGTGGCTGAGTAAATTCCATTGTATATATGGACCACGTCTTCTTTATCCAGTCATCTATCGAAGGCCACTTTGGTTGTTTCCATGTCTTGGCCACTGTGAATAATGCTGCAGTGAACATGGGGGTGCATAGATTTTAATGAATAAATGTTTTCAAATTTGGGGGATAGATATCCAGAAAGGTCATATGATAATTCTAGTCTTAATTTTTTGAGGAACCTCCATATGGTTTTCCATAGTGGCTGTACAAATTTACATTCCCACCAGCAATGTTTGAGGGTTCCTTTTTCCCCACAGCCTCTCTAAGACTTGTTATTACTTGTCTTGTTGAAGATAGCCATTCTAGCAGGTGTGAGGTGGGATAACATTGTGGTTTTGCTTTGCATTTCTCTAATAGCTAGTGAAGTTGAGCATCTTTTCACATATCTGTTGGTCATTTGTATGTCTTCTTGGGAAAGGAAAACCTCTTCAATAAATGGAGCTGGGAAAATTGAAAAGCCACATGCAAAACAATGAAACTAGACTGCTGTCACCATATACCAAAATTAACTCAAAATGGTACAAACACCTAAATATAAGACCTGAAACAATAAATTGCATGGAAGAAACGTAGATACTAAACGCATGGGCCTTAGATTTAGAGAGGATTTTATGAATTGACCTTGAAGGCAAGGGAAATAAATGACTGTTAAACTAAAAAGCTTCTGCACAGCAAATCAAGACAAAGAGGCAACCAACTGAATAGAAGATATTTGCAAACAAAACCTCTGATAAAGGGCTAATATCCAAAATATACAAAGAACTCATACAACTCAACAAGAAAACAATCCAATTAAAAAATAGGCAGAGGACCTGACCAAGTAATCTTTCTTCTTTACCTCCATACCCATTCTTGAAGGCTCTGCGTTCTTTATCATTTATTGTTTTCTGATAATTAGTAGAAAATAATCCTTCTCTTCTGTTCTTTCATTGTGTTACAATCTCCGACAGGGTACTTGTTACAATCTACCCTATTTGTCTAAAATGTCCATTTGTGTAGATCACCTTTGTATGCTACATTAAGATCATCTAGAGGTCGAGAACTTATCTTGGGAGGTCTTCCCTAGCAGTGATTTGCATGGAGTCTTGCACATTCATAATAGGCAATCTGTGTTTATTAAAATGAGTTTACTAAATGTCATTTGCATACAATTTGTCTTCCAGGAATTTACTCGATAAACTTGCTCATGTGCAAAACCATATAAGCATTAGGCAGCACAACTCAATGGGTAAGAGTCTGCTAGGATGAAATCCTGACTCTGATACTTTCTAGCCATGATCTTGGGTAAGTTACTTAACCCTTCTGTGTCTTGATTCTGTCACCTGTAATGGAAATAATACCTACCTCAGATGGTAGTCATGTGGATTAAGAGAACACTTTTGAAATGTGTTTAAGAGTGCCCGGCACATAGTAATATATGTATTATTATTTCTTACATCATTGTAATAGTGAAAAGCTGGAAACAACCTAAATGTCCATCAATAGGTGATTGTTTAAATCAACCTTAGCACATCCTTAATGGAATTCTATGCAAACATTAAAAAGATTAGGGGTCCAGAGAACATGTACAAATGACTAATAGATATTTGAAAAGAGGCTCAACATCATTAGTCATTAGGGAAATGTAAATCAAAACCAAAATGAAATGTGACCGTACATCCACAGGATGGCTATTATGAACAGTAGCAAGTGTTGGCAAGAATATTTTTTTAGGCAAGGCAACTCTTGGTTGACCTCACAGATTGCAAGGACCTTGTCTGCTTACAATTCCTTATTATTTTTTTTATTTTTTACACCTACAGCACCTGGACTTCCTAGGTGGTCTCCCATCCAAGTACTAACCAGGCCCAACCCTGCTTAGCTTCTGAGATCAGACAAGATCCAGCTTGTTCAGGGTAGCATGGCCGTAGACTAGAATGTGGGAAAATAAGATCCCTAATACATGGATGCTGGGAATGTAATGCAACAACTTTGGAAAACAGTTTGGTATTCTTCAGAAGTTAAACTCAGTTGCAATATGACCCAGCAATTTCCCTCCTATGTATCTGAGAATTGAAAACATACATCCACATAAAAACTGTACACAAGTATTCATAATACCCAAAGTGGATACAATCCAATTGTGCAACTGATGGAATGGATAAGTAAAATGTGGTATAGCCATACAGTGGAATGTTATTTGACCATAACAAGGAATAGGGTACCAGTACAGGCTACATGGATGACCTTGAATACATTATACTAAGTGAAAGAAGCCAGACACAAAAGGCCACGTTATTGCATGATTCCATTTATATGAAATGTCCAGAATATACAAATCCATATAGACAAAGTAGATTAGTGATTACAAAGGGCTGGGAGAAGGGAAGAATGGCAAGTGACTGCTAATGGGTATGGGATTTCTTTTGGGTGAGGTGATGAAAATGTTACAAAATTATAGTGCTGTTGGTTGCACAGTCTTGTGAATATGATAAAAACCAGTGAATTGTACACTTTAAAATGGTTAATTTTATGTGAATTGTATTTTAATTAAAAAAAAAAATAGGGAGGTCTGTAGGTTCTGAGATGGTATAATCTCCAAAATATATTAAATGAAAAAAAGAAAATACAAAACAGTTTCATGGTATGCTATCATGTGCCAACAAAAAAGTACACACACAATGCACTTTGCAGGCACATAAAATCTCTGAAAAGACACGTAGGTAACATTATTTCCTAAAGGGAGGGGTTCTGGGGTGGTTGAGGAACAAGGGTGGCCTGTAAGGAAAATCTACCTTCCATGTATACCCTTTTGTACCTTTTGAATTTTACAGAGTACATGTATTACCATTTCCTTTTTTCTAAAGGAAGAAATAAAAATGGAAAACTCTGATGCTTTATCTGTAGACTTTAGTTTTATTTTAAGAGATCATCTTCATTTTCTTCTATGATAAACTTAGAAGATATCCATCCACTCATTTGGTCAGATTTATTTATTCTTTAGCAATTGAAGCATTAAATGATATGAGCTTTTATTCGCAATCTGTAATATATTCATTATACTTAAGAATGTTTAGCTTTCTCATGGAGAAAAAAAAAAACAAACGTAAACCTTTATACTATCCACCTACTAGTTCTGTAGCACAATTTTCATTTAAAAGTTTTACTGGTAATCAGACAATTTATATGATGTGAGAAATATCAAGAGTGATTACAAAGTGGCCAGTCTTATAAATCAAGAGCTATGATCTTTGATCCATTGCTCAATCCATTTCAATATCTGATGGATATTATCCTCTAGATCTTCTGGTTTATTGCTGGACAGCTGATGCACTATTTCTTCCTTGTAGGATGCTAATGCTTCTTCATAAAGAACTTGAAAAATTTCACACTGAATATTATCTTTTAGTTTCTTCTCATTATAACCCCTACAAGTAGTCAAGAGAAAGATATAAAAAGTAAATTGAATGGCATTAACTGGAATTTTAAGAACATACCAGAAACTTGACAATTTTGAATACATGAAAAATCACACAAAAATACTTCTTGTAGTTTCTTTACCTATAGAAAATAGACTGGCACCTAAAATTTGAGACTTTTTTAACAAAAGGGTTAAAGTAAGGACCAATGTTTAGGTTTGCCCCCCAATTTTTTCCCCCACAATATGTCAGCCAGTCAGTTAACAAACATATCTATCTATCTCAAGCCAAATTCTGAGCTATGAGATAAATAAGAAGTCTATAGTTACAGTCCTAGGTTTCAAAAGAATTAGAAGAGTTTAGATATAGACAGATAAAACAAATGGCTGAACATACAATAAAATAAAATGCATATGATTGGAATACTATATACTAATTGGGTACTTGATCACACAGATGGATCTTTACCAATTCCAAAGACACTGAAAAAAAATTAACTTATGTACTCTTTAGGCAGGTATGTAAATTAGCCAACAAATTAGCTTGTGAAAAATATAAAGAAAATTCAAACTCTAATTTATTAAACCTTGTAACAATCAAAATTAAATTGAACTATTTAAAAGGTGATTAACTATGAAAAACCCACAGAATGGGGAAAAATTTTGGCAAATCATATTCCATATGATGGAAATTTGACAATAAAAAGGAATGAAGTACTGGTGCATGTTGATAACACAGATGAAATTTGAAAACACTGCTATATGAAAGAAGCCAAACACAAAAGACTACATATTGTATGATTTCATTTATATGAAATGCTAGAACAGGCAAATTTACAGAGACAGAAAATAAATTACTGGTGGCCATGGGCTGGAGGACTAAAGAGAAATGGAGAATGACTGCTACAGGGTATAGGGTTTTCTTTTGTGGGGGGTGGGGAGGGTGAGCATTTTCTAAAATTGTAGTAATAGATATACACCTCTGTGAATATACTAAAAATTACTGAATCGTATACTTCAATGGATGAATTGTATGGTATGTGAATTTTTCTTAAAAGGTGATTACCTTGTAATTTTTCAATGGTTGAAAACAAGACTAGCTCTCTCATAGCCAGTCTTTGGCTATTTACAAAAAACAGCAATTTTTAAATAGAATTTTAAATTGACTTGTTTGAGGAAAAGCATATATGCCATATGATCTTTATTACTTCTCTGTTCAAATACTTTTAATGGCTTTTCATTGCCTAAAGAAAAATGATTAAAGTTTTAGGTTTAGCTCCAACCTAACTTTGCTAGTATATTTTCTACTATACTCTTTTGTGCAAGGATTTTGCAGGTGTCCCATCCAGTGGTAGTTAGACAGCGCTAACTATAGTCAGTGAGAAGCACAAATTCTGAACCTGAGACAGCCCTTTACATTCCTCTTAGAATTCTCATCGTCCCACAGACTGAATTAAAAGACAGTGAGAAAATGTTTTCCTTAAAAATTTCTCTGTGACAACATGGATAGACATATAGGGTATTATGCTAAGTGAAGTAAGTCAGACAGAGAAAGAGAAATACCATATATTTCATTTATATGTGGAGTCTAAAGAACAAAATAAATGAACAAACAAAACAGAAACAGACTCATAGATACAAAGAGCAAATTGGTGATTGCCAGATGAGAGTGGGTTGTGGGGCTGAGTGAAAAAAGTGAAGGGATTAAGAAGTACAAATTGGTAGTTACAAAATAGTCATGGGGATATAAAGCATAAGGAATATAGTCAATAATGTTGTAATAACTATGTATAGAGCCAGGTGGCTACTAGACTAATTGCGGGGATCACTTCATAAATTATATAAATGTCTAACTACTATGTTGTCCACTTGAATATAAAATATTGAATGTCAACTCTAATTGAAAAAAATTTTTTTTTTAAATTTCTCCTTTTTGGTTATTCTGGATTAAGTGTGACATACTCTTGGAGGGACTAACTCAAATATATGTTAAAAGTTGTGAAATGTCAATTTTTTAAAAGTTTTTCATAACCTTTTCCATTCTTATTGTGAGGATAATTTGGATAATGTTCATTCAATAGAAAAGAATATGTTATTGGCTTGGCTGTTTTTCTAGTAAGGTTTTACATTAAGGAAAAAGCATGACTGAATAGGGTTGCTAAATAGTACATTCTACCGAATCAAATTGTCAGTTGAGGTATTCATCTACATGGTTATAAATTACTGCCTGTGTGCTACAACTCTTTTTCTTTTAGAGTCAGAATGTTGGTACCATGCGGATCTGGTTTATAGCTACAGAACAAATGAAGTAGTCACAATGGCCAATTTCAAGAACCTAAATAAAAGTTTATATTATACTTTAAGAATTCAATGTTTTCCCTTTCTTACCTTGTTTCAAGTCTTTTGTACAATATACTGTTATCTGTTTTCAATACAAAAACTATGTGAAACCAGCGTTCAGGAAAGAAATCACAACCATGGTAATCAACAATAACGCCACCTTCACTCATTTGGTTTTCTAGCTCATCAACTACCTATAAGCAAGGGGGAAGAAAAAAAGATGAATGCTCCTTTAGAAAACTGATGTCAACTTTCCTATTAAATTTTTAAAGTGTGTACTTTATTTAAAAATTGTACTTACTCTGTCTTCATCTAAAATGGGACAATCATACTCTTCATCATAGCCATCATATAACTGCCCTGAAAGAGATTTACATTGGCTTGTTAAAGTAATTTTCTAAGTAACTTTCAGTAATTTTCAATTAATTCTAGACTTTAGGAAGGGAAATGTATCACCAATTACTCTTTTGGAGACAAGGGAGGGCACTAACACAATAGATGTCATGTGGACAGCAAATATAAAGAACAGTAATGATTATATTTTTTTCTGTTCGGAAAACTGGATAGTGACATATCTGAAACTGTTTATCAAAATTGAAACTAAAGAATGAATAATAGACAATTTAGGAATTTATGGGGTTATTAGAAGAGAACTGCATTATTTTTGGTGACCTACAGATTAATGGGAAGAGGAGACACATGGATACACTCTCACACATTAACAGGAGATTAAATTCCAAACTTATTAGGCTGAGGATATGAAACTTATTATAAACAACAAGTTCTTGATTCCAGAAATTAACCCTCTTGTCACTGAGGGCACATCTTTATGAGGTTTGAGGAAGTGGAGTCAGTACCCAGATGATATGGAAGAATATCTTTACTTCTCAATCTTCAGCATCTCCCAAAGCCAAGTGTTAAGTCTTATTTCAGAAGGCAAAACAAGAATGATGGGCAGTTGTAAAGAAGATTTAAACCTAACATAACTTTCCAACAAGCCAAAGCTGGCTTTCAAAGCGAGTCTTACATCAGAGGGTGAGATATACCAATCCTACCCTCACTTGAATCGCTGGGAGGTATGTAATAAGGCAGGCTAAGATCATCTGTTTAGCCATCTCTAGGGATATGCTTCCTACCTCTTCTCCCTTAATATTTTGGCACAGGTTGAAATTAGGTTAAAATGAGCATGAATTCTAAAGTAATATTAAAGGGTAGTCCTGAGGATTAGTGTAAGGCCAGAAGCAGTTTTAATTTTCTGTCTTGCCTGGAGCGTCTGTGGACTGATTCTGGGCATATAAGCCACTTATCTCTATAGACCCCTAATGTGGCCTCTGCTCAATACTATGTAGAATAGACTAAGTAGCAACATGATCAATGCTTATGATATAAGCAGTAAAACATAAAAAGCAGAATTCAAAGTTGTCTGCAATAAGGACAAAGATTAGAAGAAAAACAAAAGATGGAAATAAGTTAGTAGGTTTTGGAGCAATTTTTCTGTGTATTATTTTTACAATACTATATATTTTTTTATAACGCCACAAAATCTATGACTACCTACAGCTGATTCTGTACTGTGTGGGAGTCTGGAGTAGACAAATGCTGAGGTGCCTTCATATTTTAAAATCTTGACTCTTAGAAGACTAGGGAAATCTTTAAAAATATATGCTGTCTATAATACAGACAACTATTGCAACATTTTTAGAATTAAAGTCTATACTGCAATGCTGAAATGCAGGATTTGTTAAATCTTGTTAATATGTTTTAATAAAATAGTGTAATCCAAGCTTTCAAGCATTCATTTCAAAAAACATTTATCAAACACCATATACTAGTGTCTTAAGGGTAATGAGGATATAATAGTGAACATCAGAGAGTTTACAGTAAAATGAGAGAAGATAGACGACAAGGAAATTATACAGTATTTTAATGTTATAGTTCATGGTGCTATGGGAACAATAAAATAGGCACCTATTATGTTAGAAACATAAACATAGGATATTATAGGAGGCTTCCTGGAGGAAACCTGAAGCAGTTAGCTAAGGAAAAAAAGGTAGAGAAGACTATTCTTAACAGAAAACAAGATATTCAAAGGCAGAGAGACTAGGGAAGTTAGGCTCTTCTCTTTCACAGGAGGGAGTCTTTCAGAATAGTTAGGAAATTTGGTGATAAGGAATCAGGTAAACCGAAGCTAGATCAAAAAGGGCTTTGAAAGCTGCATTGAGTTTAGACTTTATCCTAAGGCAAAGGAAAACAGTTAAAGCATTTTAAGCGTGAAATATGATCGATTTCAAAATTTTAAAAATCATTTTGCTTTGTGAGAACAAGGTGGAAGGAAGCAAATCCAGAAGCATAGATAGCATATCAAGGCTACTGAATTTTAGGTGAGTGATGATTGTACCACAGGAAATGGGAAGAAACAGATTCTAAACTTCATTTCAAATTTCAAAAAATGGAAATTTGTACTTTAGAAAATTTCAATTAGAAGTCAAATTTATAGTTGTCTAGTCACAGGATCTTAATCTAGCAAAGATGATTGGGCTTGCTTTGATTAAATTACCAAAAGCTTAGAAAATTATTCAATTTTGTTAACAGTTTATTTAAAAATATATTACATGCAGAAAAAAAAATTGGTTGTGGAGCCCGAGTTACAAGGTTCTTACTTTAAAAGACCTTCCTAGCTGTTGTTAGTCAAGCTTTATCATGTTTAAATGCCATCCTAGAATTCATACACTCATGTGAAAGCTGTTCTTTAAAGATATTGGGATGCTGGTTATGTTTTGATGCTATTGCTAATATTTGACATTTTCAGATTTTTTCCTTTGGAAACATATTTACCACATTTACTTCAATCCAACAAGAAGCCTTTAACTGTAATGCAATCCGTACAAGAAGTTAATTGGTTTAGGATGGAGAGCTTTGGTATCTGACCTTTAAAGAGCAATGAATTCTTAGAGAAGTTGGCACCAAAAAATGTGACATTCAAGTTGGGCTTTTTAGAGTTTTAAGGCAGATAAGGGTATATCTACAGGTAAGGGAATGACATATGTAAAGACGTGGAGGTGAAAAATTCCCAGTGTACATAAGGAATAGTGCACTGTGGGAAGACTGTAGGAGACATAGGAGAGAGTGACTGCAGGTTAAGGATGAAGGTAGACTGAAGCCAGTTCATAATCTCCTATACTTCACTAAAGAGGATGGACTTTATCAGCAAAAAGTTCCAGTCATGTTATTCCTGCTCTTTTTTTAAAGGACATGATGGTGTAGAATAGGGAGGGAAGAGATACTGAAGGTATGAGATTCAGCACAAATGGTCTTGAGAATTGGATAGGGGTACCAGAGAAACACAGCGCCAATAGTCTTAGGAATGGGATAGAGGTCCATAGGAATTTTTCCAATGAACTATCAGGATTTAAAGGGCAAATGGATCTGTCTAGTGTATGAATGTGTTTCTAGGTGTGGGGAATAGGAATGCACTTTGGAGATGTCTGGGAACTATCCAGATGGTTACATTTAGGTATCTAGAAATTGGACTAAGTTTTAATTATAAACTTAACAGTTATCAGCAAAAAGGTGACTAGTTCTGAGTGAATGAAATTACTATAGGGAGGGCCAGAATTACAAGATGGTGGCAGTGAAATCAGAGCATCAAATGCAAAGACTGGAAGAGAAAAGTGTAGGAGAGGCCAATGGAGAAGTTAGTTCCAAAGGCTTCCAGTGGAAGGAAAACATGGGACACAAAAGAGGTGAGTGTGGAGATGGCAAACTTTTGGAAAGGGTCAGATAGAAAATACTTCGGGCTTTATGAGCGTCTTTAGCTAGTGGTTATCAAAACAGCAGCAGTTTGCCAGCCCCTAGGTTAGAAACAGAAAAGATTTTAATGTGTTGAGGGTCCATCTATACTTTACAATTTACCACCTCTATTTGAAATGGATCCAATGTCAATATATTACTTTGTTGAGACCTACAGGCATCCTGGAGTTAGGAACAGAGGCTTCAGACTGATCAACTGGTGGCAGGAAAATTAAGGATGCTGATAAGTGTCATTAAATGACTGCACATGAGAAAGGATAGTGAGGAGGTATCTGAGGACTGGAAGAACAGGGTAAGGGAAGCATTCTTAGTCACACCACATTAAGGACTCCCAATAGTTTTATTAACCTTAATTCCCCAACTAAATTTTTTCCTGTCTTGGTTCCAAATGGCATAAGGATGGTCTCTTACAAATATAGTTGACCCTTGAACAATGCGGGATTAGGAGGACCAACCTCCTGAAGTCAAAAATTTGTGTATAACTACAGTTGGCCCTCTACATATATGGATTCCCAACCATGAAGTTGAACTGCACAAGTCAATTGAAAAAATGTCCCCTGAAAAGCAAAATCGCCCCTAGCTAAGGACCACTGATTTATAGGTGATTGCATGGTTTCCTTTAAAATAATATCACCATTTGAAAAAAAGAGGCTGAATATCTCAGACTATTTTCTTGTTAAGATCCTCAGAATATTTTGTAGAGAGTCTCAAGTATATTTAAATGACATCTGAGAAAAAAAAATCAAGTACATTATGAAGTTAAAAAGTACCTTATCTAACATGTCAAGTCAGACCAGAAATCCTCTACCTGGCAATACAGGATGGGGAAAAACACTTTTCCTTTAAGGCTTAAATTCCACCTCAATAAATACAAAAAAGATAGGTGTGACTATACACCACACAGTTGGCTAAAATGGCATAAATACACGAATACACAAATACACATAGGAGAGGACCCCATGGACTAGTGTTACTGTTCCTTGCAATGCTACTTATGGTAGATTATATAGCAACCTCATTAAGTTTAGAAATGTTAAACTGAGCGGGTGATTTTGGACTGGAAGACATGACTGTATGTGACTGAAATCACTTGACAAAAACAGTAGAGTTCAACAGCAAAGAAATAAAACCAGATTTCATAAAAGTATAAAATGGAAACTGAGTAGCTACATACAAGAGCAAATAAAGACCTAAGTTTTATTAACTGTAACTTAAATACCAGACCTGGATTAAAAATATAAGCATGATAGTCATTTATAATTATCAAGCAAAGATGCAGAAAATTGACCTGCAAAAGGGAATGCTGGAAAAAACATTTTTTAAATTTTTAAGTGGGGAGATACTAAGAGACACATCAAGGGTTTAAATATAACCAAAGGGATAGAAAATAGGACCTAAGAAGAAGTTGGACAATTCAGGAAAATAAATACAAAGAGATGAGGATTCACTACGAATAAAAATCTTGACCAAATGGTCCCTCCAAAAAACAGACATGATTACACTTCAGCAATTTGAGAAAATGGACCATAACAGTGACTTATACATCAGAGATCATACTATGATTTAAATATCTGAAGACACTAAAGGTGACACTGTAGTGGTAATAAAAAGACTACAACAACTTCAAATTGTTGCAACTGTTATTCCTGTTGCTGATGAGGGGGAAAATTGTTTCTAAAAACAATCGCCAAAGTACCAACATCAAAGTGAAGAATGACAACTTTATTTTTCACACTTAAAGGCTGATGAAAAACCATTATGAATCCCATTAAAGAAAATCCAACATCTCAATTTAAAAGTATGGTAACTATATTTACTCATTAAATACTATTTCACTTTTCTAAAACACAACTTGAAAACATCCAGCATGCATGTTTAATCTCAGTACAGTGGATTCAAGACCAAGTATACATGTTACATGCATCAAGGCTAGATTACAAATTATCATAGTCATCGTCATCATCGTCATCGTCATCGTCATCATCATCACGCTTTCTTTTCAATGCATTTGATGATTCATTGGCAGTATTTTGTGACGACACCATGTTAGTGGTAATAAGAATGTTTTTGGACCCAATTAATGATGGATTAATCAGGACATTCTGAACTGCTGATGTTGCAGGAATTGTTGCTTTTACAGCTGGGGACTGCGAAGTGGGCATCTGTACTGTAAACCTTTGCCCTGTGAGGGACATTGGAGTCCCTACTTTAGTTGAAACAGACATGGTTTGTGGGGTTGGTGTGCCAAGTGTGGGAGTACTTGGTCTGCTAGTAACTGAACCAACACTCAGCCGTGGAACTGTTATTCTTCCCGCAGAAGTAGATGCCTTTTTTTGTAAAGACTTAAGTCTATAGTTTGGAGCAGTCAAACAGTATCTATCAGGTGGCAATCTAGGGCCTGAATATGGCTTGATCAGTGGTAAAGGGGTTTGATTTCTTTGCCTTGCAATATCTAATAAAAAATCTCTTGGGGGAGGAGAAGTAAAAGACTGGTCAGCACGACACTGGATTGCCAATCGCACATCATCTGCATCAACAGTAGCTTTCTTAGCATGGCTTGAATAAATTTTTGCATCATCTAGAATTGTGGTCACATATCGGAAGGCAAACTCCAACATCTGATTTATAACTCTTGGCTCATATTCTGTAATCCCCATATCCTTCAGGATTTGTGCCATCATCTGTGCATCTTTCGGCATGCTCTTGGGAGAAGCCATCTTGCCAGACTCCATGATATCCGGTGATCAGACTTTAGATCATTTGAAAAAAATATGTACATTAGGTCAAATCTGAAATAGTTACTTTAGTAGCAACTGTTGGGAACTTTAAAAAATTTAAATATATGCTAAATTTTTAAAAATATATTTAAATTTTAAAAATCTATGTTTAATCTTTTTATTTTTAATGAGGTACACTTAAAGTTCCATTTACTTAAATTTATTAAGTTTCTACCCTGTAGAAATCATAGCAGAATATAAAAAGATAAAGACACAATAAGGGAGTGATAACAGATAAAGAGAGAAAACAGGGAAAAATAAGTAAAAATATGTATCATTTTAGAATATGTGCAGTTCTGTGCAGACAAGCAACTATCAAATTAATATATAAAAATACCACAGAACAGTTATGTCCTACTGCTTGATTTCAAAATAATGCGTCCTTCCAGTGAGATCAATATAATCACTATCTCCATAGATATGCTAAGCACCACCCAAACCTTTGTTGTTCACCTGTTTCAAAACATTCTCCCTATTCCTCATATTCAGATTATATAAATCCAATCTCTTCATCGAAACCTTCTCAATCATTACTGACCACAAGAACTGCTAGCCAATTGTGGGGGCAATGTAATGGTCAAAATAACCAGGATGTGGCTTTAGACACTTAATACTTTCTACTTCTATGGGTCCCCAATAGAGCATAAATTCCTTAATAGCAATTTTTCTCTGCTTTTTGTATCCTCTCACAGTATAATACTAATACTCCATTATCTCTCTCTCTGAAAACAAATTTAACACCAAAAAATGTCCCTTACCTTCTCGAGCTAAATCACCCACATTAATGTATTTGAGTCCTGATCTTGATGCAAGTTCTTTGCCTAGTGTGGTTTTTCCAACCCCTGGTGTACCTGGAAAACAAGCCACAGAAACATATTGTTCAACAAATACTTATTAGACTTTAGCTACCTACCTGCCCTTCTTAAAGTTCTTAACAACTGAAATGAAACGTTTCCTAATTAGCAATCCTATGTGAATTAGCATACAGCATGAGCTAATCAAGACCTGTTGGATGTCAGAATCTCATCCAGGGTATCTGATTCTATCAGGAGTGGGGCTTAGGCAATTCTGATGCCAATTTGCAGACTGCTTGCCAACACTATGGAAATTGCCATCTCACATAAATTAACATCATCATTTGCTTTAATTTTTTAAAAACAAACTTCATGAAAACAATTTAAGCAGTAGGAAAGACTACTATCATTTCTACTACTGACCCCCCATATTCTTCCTTAGAGGCAATCACTGTAAACCAATTTCTTATATATCTTTCCAACAAAGTCCTATGCATATGTGTTCGTGTATACATTCATGTAAATGTATACATGATGGCACACTACATATGTATGTGTATACATATATATACATATTAGGGGCATATACACACTTTTACATAAATGGCAATGCTACACTGTGAAAGGCATTTGTAATGTAAACGTTTGTGTACATTGTTCATTTTGCTTTTTTAATACGTATTATATTTCAAGATAAATAATCAAAGGCATAATTTTCAGCTGTTCAGGGCTAATGCCACTGAAATAATAAATCCCGATCATTACAATCCAAGGGATGAATCAAGCCTCCATATTCAAGACAATAACATTTACCTCAAGTCTACTATAATACACCAAGTTTGAACCCTGGACTCACCATGTTTTTGATAACATGCTCACATTTAGATTTCTGACATTTAAATTTTAAAAATGGCTTAATATTAAAAAATAGGACACTGTCTGACCCAAACAATTCAGATGTTGTAAAATCTTCCCCTTAAGGAATCTTAAAGTCTAAAGACTAATTTGTTGAGAGGTTAATCTACAACTCCCAGAAACAGAAAGCAATTGTGAGCCACCAACAAACTTATGTTTTGTTAGATAATAACTTTATGGCTTTGTTTCCACAAAGAGCGTTTTAATCTTTCCGTGTTGCAATAGCACTACACCCAATAGATTTTTCCATGAATGCTCTAAGATGCTACTAACTGCTACAATTTAACAAATTTTCAGAGTTAAATGATCAACAATAATATCCTTTAAAGTCGTTATGAAGTATTTTAGTACCCCTCCATATAACGGGCTCCCTGAGTATGGATCCAAAGATCAAGAAAGGCCCCTGTGGGATCTTTACAGCATCCCTACACCAGAAGCGAACAGAAATGCTCAGCAGATGGCCTTTTCTTCTTGTAAGAAAAAAAGCCTGTGCAGCTAACTCGACACATACATACAGCAAATGAATCACCGTATGTCACAAACATCCGAACACTTTTACCGAAATCTACAGAGAAAAAAATGAACAACGGACCAGGAAGGCCTAAGGACTAAAGTATCCACCATCAACATACCTGCTAAGGACCAGGCAGGCACTACCTTACATGACCTCGCTAAAAGGCAGATAACCGTGCTTTTAAAAGAAGAATCAACATTCAGTTTATAAAAAAACTGATTCAGACAGATTAGGCAGCTTGCCAGAAAGGGGAGCTGGATTCTCCAGCTTTCCACCTCACCGAGCAACCTCTAGCCAACAAAGTTAACGTTCCCTGTCCCCTCCCCCCGCCTCCCGCAACGGTCACGAGGGCCGGGTCTCGAGGCTCGCACAACGGCCACTCCTCCAGGCCCTCGACTAGCTTTTAAACAGAACGCTGAGTGCCTGACCGCGCCCCCACCCCCACTTCGGGGGCCCGAAGCCCTAGAGGACTCGGTGTCCTTGGCCTGCCCCACCGTCCAGCCCCTCCTCGCCGCGCGCCCTGACCGGTGAGCAGGATATTCGGAAGCAACATAGTCCTCTCCGCGACGGCTCTGGGAACCTCGGCACACGCGCTCTAAGCACAATAGGGAGGAGCCGGAAGGCGGGCGGCGGCAAGCGCCTGTGGGCTCGCGGTCCTCGAGGCCCAGCGCGGTGTTCGCAACCCGTTTCCGCTTTCTAGTGCCGACCACTGGTTACTTGGCCTTCTGTGACACGATTTCATCACACGGTCCGAGGCAGGGACATAGGTCGGGTCCGCGATTCAGGTCAGGCAGGGCGCTGGATGCCTAAGTTACTCGCTCCTTTGGCTGCCCCCGCCCTTCGGGCTGCGTCGCGGAAGCGCCGGTGGGTCCGAAAGGTCCCCGGGAGGCGGGACTTCCGAGAGGCTCGGCGCTGAGCCCTTGTAGGGCCGGTGGCTAGCTACCCTTCGACCTGGAGCAGATCCTGGGCGCCTCCGCTCCTCCGCCCACGAGGGCATGCAGCTCCCGGCAAGTAAGGCCGCCGCGGATGTGGCCGCGGTATATGTGTGTCCTAGTGACTCGAGACTACGCCTTCCCGGCCTCATGTTCCTCCTCCTCCCGACCTGCCCATCCTACATGGGGATGAGATGGGTGGGGATACAGACTCCTGTCCTGGAGCCGACGCACGCGAGCCTCTCTCGTCTCTCCACTGATTAGCAGCATTCCGTTGCACGACTATCTGAGCTTAGTATCCCCTGTACAGTGTGCAGTGTGTAGGGTGGTGGTGGGTCTGCTAGAGATATTCTCGAAGGTGCCGTCTACCTCTGACGTTTCTTTTCAGGAACCTGGCATCAAGGACAGTTAATCTGCTATTTAAAGGAGGTAATTGTTAGTCTCGTTTTGAAAGACTCCTTACCATAATAACAGTCTGCGCCTTTCGTTTCTACCCAAATACGTGTTTTTTTCCCATCTATGTACCTCTTTGAAACTCCAAAGCAAAAACCTCTCTGATCGTGACGATTCGTACGTGTATGTGTACGATTTGTTTCCTAGTGTGTGCAAGCATTTGCACATTATGTGTGCCTCCAAACTATTGAAAAAGGTCCAATATACCTTCCATTTTATAAATTCATAGACCTTTAAAAAAACTTACCCCTGGCCGAATTGAAATCGATGAATTTACTAGTTTGTGTAAACATTGAAGAATTATGAAAGTCGCAAAACATAGTGTTTGTTGCCCCCAAATTTCCTAATATGTTCAGATAAGAAAAACAGTTATAGGGAAATTTACAATAAGCTGTAGAGTCTTTGTCTAAAATGAGTGATAAGTCTGAATTCATTGTATGGTCGAGTTTTGGGGTTTTTATTTTTTTGAAATTTTGGTAATGAAAAACTGCAATTGTAATTCAAAATGAGGGAAATTTTAATTTTCCATATAAAAACTGCACAAATAAAATTGTCTAATTTTTCTTAATTACAAAATGTAGGTATACAAATACGTGGTTTTTTTTCATTTTCTCTGGTTATTGACTTCATATGAAATACTTTACATTTGTTACACCATAGATTATTTGACATAGATATAATCATTAAAATTAAAATTTGTTTTAGCATTTTGACTCTTGCTTCAACTATGTTTACTATGTTTCCTTTCACTGGTCTTGAGCTTTAACTTTATTATGCTGTTGATTATATCATTTATATTAATTATTGTATTTCTGTTTTACCATTTTTCTTAATTGAGAATTTTTTTCTCTAGGTGAATTATACTTTAATGTACTACAGGTTGTATACTATGGATGGGAACTATTAAAGTTTATAATGTCAAAAACTTTTCTTAGACGAAAGGAATCTTCTACAAAGGTATGATACCCTAAAATGGCCCTGTAATAATTGCCCAAAAGAATGAAAAATTTTGTACATGTTCTTAATGATTTATTACTGCTATCAAAGTAATGGTGCCCAGTGTCTGTTGTAATTAGTGATCTAAAAAGTCTAATGATAAGTTATAAAACATCCATACACCAGAAGTACAGCCTTAATTTTGAAAAATTGTTTACAATCCCAATCACAAAGAAAGGGCTGAAAACTCTTTAATGAAAGAGCAGTAGAAGAAAGAAATATATGAGTTGTAGTTTGTGTTAAAGCTTAACAGCAGCCCTTACCTCTTAGAAATCATGTGGTTCAGTGTGCCATTCCTCAGCATGGTTAAGGAGTAGAGTAGAATGAGGATCAGGCTCGTACTCATATGCAAAGTAGCTGTTTTCCTAGTGATAGATCTGATTTTTCTCACATCTTAAGTAAATTATAAATTATTTAACTTTGCTGGTTCGCTTCCCCCTTTTTTTTATTTTTCACATTTATGTAAGAAATAAAACTGTAAAATGTATAAGTAACATATAGATTAGAATTGCTATCAAAAATTTTACTAGAACATAATATTTTTATATACTCTTAAAAATTGAGGAAAGGGGCCAAAATTATGGTAATAGTGACAGTCTCTTGAAGAGGAGGAAATGAATTGGATGGTTGTGACTCAAGTTTTTTCCCAGAGGTTTTCAGTTCTTTACCTATTAATAATATTCTTAACTCCCATCCTTAAAAGGGGATGAATATAATCAAGTCATATTTACAAATTATGGCATCAGAATTCTTAGACTATATCTTTACAAAGTCTTAAAGCTGTTAGGAATTATTTGGATGTATGAAATGTAATGTATTAACATGGTCAAGGCAGAAGTGTTACACTTCTCATGTTGTGAATGGTTAAAATAGTACCATTTTATTTATCTTGTTTTGCTTTTTTGGTAAGTAATTTGAATATTTAGGTTTCAGTTATACAAATGAGTTTAAAAATAATCAGCCTACTCTTTATCCTGGGAAGATTACATTAATAAGAATAAAGTTTGTATTCTTTATTCCTTTGTATGACATTCATCATTACCATGGTTAAGTAGACAAGTATGCATTTATTGTAAAGTAGAAAAATAACTATTAAAGAGCTATTTTGTGATATTTTTATTTTAAATGCTGCAAATATCCAAACTTTTTTTTTTACACAGTAGTTCAATTATATAGGGAATAGATGCAAAAAATTGTAATAGTATTTACATGATTTCTTTTTTTCAGATAACAGACTGGGTAGACCCATCCTTTGATGATTTTTCAGAGAATACAAGCATCTCTACTATTACTGCCACATCATTAGGTGTGAATAATTCAAGTCATAGAAGAAAAAATGTGCCTTCCACATTAGAAAGTTGCAGATTTCCAACTAGAAAAAGAGGAAAGCTATCCTCCTCAGAACAGTTTTATGGTCTAGAAAATTCAGAAGAATATCTGTCTGAAAATGAACCATGGGTGGATAAATATAAACCAGAAACTCAGGTACTAAATAGCATGCAAACAAGTTGTGTAATTTCAGGAAGGAGAGAAATGTGCATTTTTAGATTGTTACTCATAAAAATCTTTTTATCTAAACGATTTAGGAAAAAAACCAATAATTTGTAGGTTTTTTATGTTCCAAGGCTCAGATTTTCTCAACAGTTGTTCTGAAGTTGTATCATTGGTTATTTGTCTTAGATTAAATTTAGCCTCAACATAGGATCAATCTGTTTTTTTTTCCTTCTAAAGGTAATACCCTTCCCTATTTATTCCCTTCCCAAAATGTATTTTAAGTTTTTTAAAAAATTTTATAATTCCAAACCTGTCCAAAATTTTTGTACAGTGATGTTAACCTAAAAACAATTTTTTCTATAAACTCAAAAGCAATAAATGAACAGGACAAATAAACAGAGACTCATGGACAGGGGCAAAAGACTAATGGTTACCAGAGGTTGGGGTAGGGAGAGGGAGGTAGATGGGATAAAAAGGGTCAAATATGTGATGATATTAAAGAATTAAAAATAAGTAATTTTTAAAAACCAATTTTTTTATAACAATAGAAAAAATTAAGTGTAATCAGTCTGTTTTATTGCTATTTCATGTTACTCATTTGCTAGTTTTTTCATTAAAAATGTTTATTTTAAACTTGAAATTTTTAGCATGAACTTGCTGTGCATAAAAAGAAAATTGAAGAAGTTGAAACCTGGCTAAAATCTGAAGTCTTAGAAAGGCAGCCCAAACAGGTAATTAAATAAAAAATGTGTTTTAAATATTTAATATCAAATGTTCCTCTGACTTATAGATGGTTATAAGAAGTTAAACTTCATGATGACTAAATAAATCCAGATCACTTGTCATGGAAAACTCTCTAGTCTTAACTATTTCTGGCCCCACTAAAAGATTCTGAGACTGAGTTTTCCCCTTTACTTAAATTTCTTTTTCCTTCTTATGCCCTGTCATAAACATAAAGCATAGTAAACTAGTTAAGGTGGTAGTGTATTTTGCACATCAGATTATTTCACCCTGAAGCAAGCAGGCAAATTATATACCAGTTTTCATACTGAATATAACCTAAAACAGTCATCATTCATTTTACACTGATGTTTCTTTTTTCACTTCCTAATTCCACAATTATGCTTTACCCCTAAGCTAGAATATTCTTTTTAAACTTTTTTTATTTTAAGATTCTTCAAACATAAAGGAAAATAGAATAGTAAATTAATACATACTCATACCCATAATATAGCCATCATCTTTTCCCTTAAGTATTTTAAAATAAATTATAAATATGTGACATTTTGATCAGACTTTTAGAAACATCAGTATGCCACTTTTTTTTTTTTTAATTTTCCTAATTAATTGTATGTACTATTATTCTATCTAACAAAATTAGCTAATTCCCTAATGTTATCTCATGCTCAGTTCATATTCACATTTCTCCAGCTTTCTTCAAAATGTCTTATTTTGTAGCTGGTCAGTTATAACCAGGATCTTATCAAGGACCACATCTTGCATTTGATTGTTATATCTCTTAAGTCTTTTTAAATCTAGAATGGTCCCTTTCACCTTTTCTTTCTCTCCAAGATATTGACTTATTGAAGAGACCAGGCCAGTTGACTTGTAGATCTCACGTTCTGAAGTTGTCAGGTTGTTTCCTCCTCATAATGACTAACTTGTTCTTCCATCCTGCATTTCCTGTAACTTAAAAGTTTGAATCAAGGGCTTGATTAGACTCGAGTTGAATATTTTTGCAAGGATGCTTTATTAAGCCATGGTATTTATTTTATATTGCATCATATCAAAAAATATGTCTGGTTCTGCTGTCTTTACTGT